GGTCCGAGAGGGGGCGGGGAGCGGAGCGGCGGTGCCTCAGCCAGCCCACATGCTGCCCGAGTCACGCACGGGGCGGGCGGGGCCGGCACCGCTCGCTGGGACTCGTAGTTCCGCGGACTACAGCTCCCGGCATGCAACAGAGCGACTCGCCCCGGGCCTGTGCAGATGTGCACTATGCAGCCTGCGGGGGGAGGGGCCGCAGCCGCTTGGGAGCTGGGAATGTGTCAGTGGCCGTCTTCTGTGTCAGTGGCCACCGCTTCTCCCCTGACATGTCCAGACATGTGAGGAGCTCTGTAGGCCAGATGTGATAGCTCCAGTGAGGGATTTAGGCATGAGCTAAGTAAGCTTGAGCTTAGGGCCTTGTATTATGGGTAGTGAAGGCAAAGGGTAGCGCAGACCAGCAAACCGTGGAACCAGGCAGAGAGGTTGCGATTACTCCCGCAGGGCCAAGGATGAGGTTGGGGCCTGTCCCCGCCTGCCCCTGGCTGGACGTATCGTTATGCGTGCTCCAGACGGGTATTTTGACCGTGGGGCTCCACACTGGTCCGCAGTTTTCCAGGCCACAATGTAGAAAGGTTGGGAACCCCTTGTTTAGGGCCCCAGCATGTCATCACCTGGCCCTGGATGGCTCTGTGGATTTGGCCCACGGGCTGGTGGTTGAGCGCCCCGGTTCTAGGCTTAGATGTTCTCCCGCTGTCCTGTTAAAGCTGTTGGTTGGGATAAATAATTATTCATGGGGTCAGAGGCTGGAGCATGGGGCTTAGCAGTCCCAGATGAGCGACCTGGGCCTACAGGGTTTCTCATGCTCCAGCTCTTGTTTTTGGGCTAATGAGCATTCAGTCCATGAATGAAGATTTAAGTATGCAGAGTGGAATAGTTTTAAGTGGAGAGGTGGAGGAAAGCCCATCCCATAACACTCAGGAGCCTGGCTGTGAAGGAAGTTTAATGGGAAAAGTGAGTTTGGGCCCCCTCAAGCAGAAGAGAGACTTAAGTGTGGGGCTTCAGCCACCTAGGCAAATGCATGCTAAACTCAAAAATAAATAAAGGTGAAGTAGGTTCCTTCTCTTGGCTGAGTTTGGTGCAGGATTAAACATTCTCAGAGTGAACTTACCAGGGTGGTCCTCATAGGTGACACAGCCGAGCAACTGCTTTATTTATCCACCCTGCTGGTACCTGGGTGTGAGTGAGGTGCCTAGCTGCTCAGTTCTCTCTGGACTGCGGCACTACTAGGCATGCCTGACAGCATGTCTTTAAGTGCCTGGGTGCTCCAAGGCCTCCCCGAGTGAAGCAGCAGCTGCTGAGTCAGTTTTGCTTCGGCCCCTTTCTGAATCTGGTCCTAAGAACTGAAGTGAGTTTTGAAAATGGAATTTAGGCTGGCCTGAGTCACTTGCACACATTCAAATTGTCCCTGCCCTGAGTCATGCTGAGCCACATGTTGGAATCCCAGTGAGATCATCCCAGCCTTTCTTTTGTAAGAGGCAGACAAATGTTCTGTACAGTTCACAAACAGGAGGAAAGGATACTTCTTGGTCAAGATTTTAAAACCCAAGGTCCCATCAGCCATGTTCAGACTTTAGTCACATGAAACTCTCCACATGAGTGGTATTTCCCTGTAGGTGTTGACATATGTTCACTGTTGGGTCGGGGGAGGGGCTCCAATCCACCCACCCCTGCCCCAGCTCAAGCTGAGCAAACCCCAGCCTGTAGCTCCCTTCCCCTTCCTTTCCCCCCTCCCATCAGCTTTGGAGTGCCTTCACCTGAACCTCACATAATGCGAGTTAATTTGTTATGCAATTGGGCACTTTTAAAACACTCTGCAGCCATGCACTTCTGTCAGGGCATGGCTGTAGAGCATTTTCAAGGGGCTGATCACATGGCAAATGCCACTCTGTCAGCGCCCCTTGTGTCCTTAAGCTAAATTTCTTCCTATGTTAGTATGCTGGTCTCTAAGTCACCACTAAAGTTTTCTCTTGCAAGAAGGTGGGTGCATTTCAATGGTGCTGTATGTAGGAAAACAAGAATTAAAAGAAGATATGTTTAGGTAAAAGGCACCACCATAAGGGCATGTTGTCCAATTCAAAACTACAAAGATCTTGTTTCAAGTCACAGTACTCCTAGTTCTGGTTGTTTTTTACACCTTTCTTTCCCTAAGGGCCTTTCCCACTTTGGCTGCCTAATTAATGTTTTACTTGTAAATCTTGGGAAATCAATACAGCCAAACCTGTTTAATCACATGTCATATTATGCAATGATTAAAAAAAAAAACGACTAGATGAACAGTCTAGTGCAATACAGACGTGTACAAATATGTCAGCTACGTATTTGTGAGACAAACCTTCAGGGAAGCTAGGTTTGTAGAGAGCCAGTTATAGGTAGTGATTGTTTTCTAATACCAGGTCCTGGCCCCTTCTCCTGTTCTTTGTTTCTGTCATGGTAATTTATGAATTAGCAAAATGTAGCAATAAAAACTTATGGAAATTAAGTTTCAGAAAAATATTCAGAAAAAATTATTTTTCTTTTCTACATAAAGTTTTCATTACAGTAAGGTTAAGAACAATTTCAAAATATTCCTCATATTTATTCTTCCCCTCAAATATTTTACTTGGTTGATATGTTATAGTTCTGCATTAGACTGGAGTTGGACTGTACTGGTTTGGAAATGTGAGTGTGTGGAAATCAGGTACAAACATGTTTCTTGGTGTGGCACAGAATCGCACTTTCCAGTGAGAGCCTAGTTTATAAAAGCAAGGCTAAGATATTTATGTAGAAAACATTCATATGAATACATATTATGTAAACCCTTGTACTTCTGGACAAAAACCATCCACTCTCTGAAGGTTAGGAAGAAACTTCTGTGGAACATTTAACAAACTGCCCACTATAGGATTTCATACACCCCCTTCAGAAACATGGGGCACAGACGACTGTGTGAGATGGGATACATGACAAGTTTGGGCATCTCCTACATTTGTCTGAGACAATGTGAGATCCTGGTTGAGATGCATTTTTTCACTGTATTCTGATTGTATCATTGGTGGCATTGCTTCCACTTATGATGAAGTCAAGCATTTTTCCTCTACTGCGTCAGGAGAGCAGAATTGTAGTTGAATGTGCTTTTGTAAGGACTGAGGTAAGATGCAAGTGCTTTTGGAGAGGCACGTCACTTCTGACTATACCTTCAGTGTTGTTTCAGTGCTCTGTTGTGCACAATTTTTGTGAAAGCTGAGAGCAAGTCTTCCAAAGGAAAAAGATTCATCAAACAGGAAGTCACAGTATTTCTACAGAGGGGGTTCCCAAGGGTGCAGGGCTCCACAGCTGCTGACAGTCAGAGGCTTGCGAGTATCTTTAGAGATGCCCTCTGCCAGAACTCTGTAAGTGACACAGTTGACAACGCTGACAGCTGCTCGAATATTTTTTACTATAAATATTTGTCTAATCCATTTTTATAGTTGTGGGGGGAAAAGAACTGTTGTGGTTGAACTCTTCGTTAATTAGGGTTTACTAGATGAGTCAATGGAGTTTGCTAATTAATTTAGCAACTGCTAATCTGCTAAAAATAGAGATGGATTTTTAATTGGCTTTAATATTGGGTGTGTTTTTTTAACAATTTCATCGTGGACCTGAAACTATTCTCATGTCAGTGACAAAGGAATTCAGATGTCAGTGGAGACAAGGGAGACAGTATTTTGGTGGCTGACACTGCTTTTAGGATGTAACACGCAATGATGTTAAGTGTCTTTAAAATACATTTATGTTCTTCTAAGTAGAAACTGTTGAAATTGTAGAGAAAAAAGGTCAAAATTACTTCTTTCCTGATTCTATAGGTCACTTGTCTATTTATTGACAAGGATTACAGTAAAAACCTCTTGTACTTTGCATGACACATGGTTTTGCTATTCTTAGTCAGAAGGGTGTAGGTTAAGGATGGCATTTTTCCTCCTTTTTCTCTTGGTTCAATTCAGAAACATTACTGCAAGATCACACTGTGATTTAATTGTTTCTGTGAAGGAACAAGTTTCAAGATAAAAGCCCCATTGTCCCTCTTTGTCTTCCAAAGCGTGGTATCATCATGTTCTATCATGGAACCTCTTTGTGTCTCTGGTGAGCAAGAAGATTAACTTTTGCATGTCTAGGTTCCCTTTGTAGCCTAAAGACATAAACAGTCTAATTTGCTTCCCTGTTCCTGTACTTGACTGCACAGTTCCTGACTAAGAAGAACTGAAACACTGATTCACTAATGTGTGCAAATTTTATTAGTTAATGGTTCCAGAGATGGTGAATCCAAGCATTTTCAGTTTTCCAGGACAGCAGTAAATGATTGTGGTATAGTCCCTCTGACACTGGAAATAACACACGAGATTCTTAAAGGAATAAAACTTTATTATTAAATGTTAAAAATTATAGTTATTTACATGGATTTGTAGAGTTAGAAGGCATAGTGAGCATAGTGGTTGGTGGATCATCTAGCCTGCAGACTGGCTCAGAGACAGTCATCTGGCCTATAGGACTGGAGGCACCCCTGCCATATAGGCAGATAAACTAAATACTGTGCAAGTTACTGTGTATGGATCCTTTTAGATGTAACCTTAAAAATAAGGTCTCTCCTGCATGGATGTTAAAGAGCTCATAACATTTTTCATTAGAGTAGAATTTTGTCTACACATAAGTGGCATTACTACTGGGAAACATCCTCCACCCACACCTGGGGCTTCAGATGTTTCCACAACCTTTGGTGGGCATCCTACTTGCAGGGCCAAGCCCAGAGCCTTGGGGTTTGGATGGCTCCAAGTTTTGCTTGACCTTAGCCATAAGGCCCTCAGAGCAAGCAAGGGAGGAGACTCCCATTTCCATAAACTGGGCTTAAAGCTGCTACACCTCGGCGGGTAAAAAAACAGGAATAAGAAAGAGGAACTGAATTGAAAGGAACGTTTTGGGTCACTGACTCCAGAGCCTTGCTATCAAAGGCACCACGTTGTATAATCTCTTCCATAAACTGATCAGGCTCCATCTTAAAACTAGTTAGGTTTTCTGCCCCCTAGCACACTTATTGAGAAACTACTTCCAGAAATGGGATCTGAACCAGCTCTCCGTATGAAAGAGAGACAATGTTAGGGAGCACATGTAGGGCGCAGATAGAAGTGACAGTTTTGGGGTCTGGCCCCTGAAAACACTCTACAGCCACAATGCAATGCATGCTTACAGTTACAGAGTGCTTTAAAAGTGGCCAGTCTTGTGAAAAATTAACCCTGGTTAAATCAGGTATTACATGAAGGCACTCAGAAGCAGAGCACCTTAGAGAATTTGTGTTCCCTCCAGGGTTAATTTTTCATGTGGTGTGTCCAGCCCTGCCTCCTGGGCTGTTGGGGAAGGAGAGGGAGCTGCTGGCTGCTGAACGGCTAGAGTTGCGGGGAGGGAGAAGGGGGAATGGAGCTCCCTCACCTCATGGGCCAGCCTGGCTTCCCCCAATACCTCAGCCAGGGTTGCTGAGTGGGGCAATGCAAGGGGAAGGGGCTCCATTCTTGCCTGCTCCCCTCAGCTCTGGCCCCTCAGCAGCTCACAGCTCCATGCTGGCTACTGCTGGCTGCTGAAGGGCCAGAGCTGAGAGGTGGGGAATGGAGCCCCCTCACCTTGGGGGCCTGACCCATCTCCCCCAAATACCCCAGCCAGGGTAGCTGGGGTGGAGCCACGAGGCAAGGGGGCCCAGTTCCTGGCCTTGCCCCCAGCTGTGGAAATTCAGCAGCTGCAATGCCCCCACCTGCTGGCCTGGGTCAGTATAGGCTGCTCCTAGTCCCCCCCCCACACAACAGCTGAATGTCTGTTTGGTTGGGGAGGGGGAGAGTGGAGAGGGCGCTTTAACTCATGGCACTTTACGAATGTACCATAAGTTAGAGCGAGGCCCTAACATCTGTCTGCACTCATAGTGGTTTGAAAATAGAAAGGTTTATCCTCAGTTAGCCACCAGAGGGAGTCTACACCTCCTTTTAAATGTAATGGAAATAAATTACAGCAGGAGTCATTTCAGGCTGTAGCAAGAACATCTGACCTGCTCTCTTGTCAGATTGTTTTATCTCCCTAAGGCACATGGCATGCTTTCCATGGCATTTCAAGCAGTACTAGATGTAATACATATCTCATTTGACTTGTATCACAAACTGCTGTCTGGTGACAGGCCTGTGTCTCCTCCTCTTTGGGGTTTGACCTCACAATTCAAGCACTCTCCAAGTGGCTTTCTTGGTCACACCTCTCTCCAGGTGTCAGCAAGGATAACTCCTGATGGGGACAAGTGTCTCCCATCAGGAACCCACAAACAGGAACAGCATGCAGTGAAACAGAAGCAGCTACTTCAGAATAGAGTACAATTTATGGTATTTTGCCATCAGGTACAAACCACGCCAAGAAATTAGTTAAAACAAGAAAGAGGCCTACATACACGTGGTCTTACCAATGTATGGCATTCCCTTCAAGCTCCTTGGCAGACATGACTTCGTCCTGAGAACCAAGTTACAGTCTACTTATTGTAGGTCATTAGCCTATGACCTTTGATAATGCTCTTCCTCCCTTTAACCACTTTTAATTGTTCAAGACCTTTTGATCTCCTGATATTCAGCCTTGGCAAAACACCTGGATAACTGGACTTGAAGGTGGGCAACTGCCTCTTCATAGCTATCAACCTGGCCACTGCATTGGGATATTCCTTATCAAAACCTCATCCCCTTAATAGCCTCCTTCAGATCTAACTTCATACCAAATATATGAATCAGAAAACCACATATAGAGGCATTTGCAATATTAATAAATAATACAGTTCTTTCCTGCTAGGGAGCAATGATTGGTAGGTGAAGACTGAGACAGGAGAATAGTAAATGGTGGGAAACAAAGGTAAAAGAAAAGCAAGGAAATAAAAGTAAAGGAAAAAAACAGAAAAGCAAGAAGAGAAAGAAGAGCTGAAAGAAGAGAAAAAAATATAAGGCAAAATGTGGATCCAACAGGAAACCCATTTGGCAATTACAGACTAGAAGAACTCCCAGAAAAAAAAGGCTATCTGAGCCACAAGACTTGGCAGGAGTGATGGGGAGAAGCAAAAACACCTTAGTGAAAAAAATAAGCTGGCTCAATATACAATCTTTTACTACCTTCCCCTTTCTCACTGAGAAATTTCTGAAATTAAGTAATGTTACATGGTAACACAGTAGCCTTTGGTAACTGAAATGCCTGCAATGGCACATGCTTCCTGTTGCCAGCGATCAGGGATCTACAGGGTTTGTCAGCCAGCATCATTCTTTTCAGTCCCACCTCAACCTGCCTGTAAAGCATCATGCATATACTTACCTGACAGGGGAGATTCCATAATATTTTCGGCCCAGGTGGTTTTACTGACCTGGCAGGGGAGATAGACTTCTCTGCCTTGAATGACTTTATGTAGTTAGAGGGTGAAGGTCTGTCCCTTGTACTCTGGGCAGGCTGACCCCTGTGAGAGACTATGCTTGCAATGCAAGGATTTCAGCTACACAATTCAAGGTGATGGGGGATTGCCCTTGGGCTTTTTCTCTAACTTGTTCTTTTGGCCTAAGACTAGGGGGCATCTGAATTCCAGGGTCTCCAGGCTTGGGACTTGCATGTTGGATGCATGCCATAGATTTGAGAGTATCTGAAGTCCCAGGCTGAAGAGTCTGGGAGGTAGGATACTTGCCTGTGATAGTGTCACACAGAGTTGAACGAGTGAGCTCTGCTCAGTCATTAGAATTCAGAATTGATTTGGTGGATTTGGCCCAAGACATCAAATTAGAAAAAAAAAATATCTGTGGCATTGTGTAAGCCATTCTGTTTTGTATTTGTGTAGTGCAGAGGTTATCAATCTGCAGTCCATAGGCCAAATTCAACCTACAAGGAGGTTAAATTCAGCCTAGGAAGATCTGACCCAGCACAGGGGATCAAGCAGCCAGCAGCAGCTGCACCATGCTACCTGTCCCTTCTGCAGCACTCTCTGGGTCACACCAGTTCAGGTGCCAGTCAGGGAACAAGTTACTGGAGTCTAGAATTAGAAGAAGTGAGTTAAAAGAAGCGAGTGGGATTTAGGTATGGGCTGGGTCAAGGAGCCAGGAGATCAGTCTGAGAACTGGGTCTGGGAACAAGCAGAGTCAGGAAACCAGACGATCAGGCAGAGCATTGAGTCAGAGGGTGAGCCAGGTCAAGTAGTCAGGTGATTCAGAAGGTCAGACAGAGGGACAAGCCATAGGAAACAGCCAGGCAGCTGAGCAGAGATTGAGCTCTGTTAACCATACATTTCCTCTTCTAGGGTCTATGCGAGAAAGAGTGAGGTGTCATCTGACCCTGGCCGTCACACTGGAAGCAGGGAGTGGGTGGGTGGCTAGGTGGATGGAGGTTTCTGGACACCTGTGTCCAGCCTGAGTGGTCAGTAGGAGAGGTGGAAGACTAGGACAGGCAGCCAATCTGGGTAGACAGATGTTCTGGGTTCATAGTTTCATAGTTTCTAGGGCTGGAAGGGACCTGAGCAGATCATCTAGTCCGACCCCCTGCCATGGCAGGAAGAGCACTGGGGTCAAATGACCCCAGTAAAGTGGTCATCCAACCTCCTCTTAAAA